TATGTATTACCACATCAACTACTGGCAGCTGTTTGGTAGCTGTGTTTTTTTTTATTCATTCATTTATTTCAGCTTTATTCTACAAAGGAGTTTGAAAACTCTTGTCCGTCCATGTCACTCTGATGTTGGGTAAATCCACAGCAGGAGACGGTACTTTACAAGAACTTGTGTCCATTTGTAGTCAACCAGAGATTTACATTCAAGACAACTGTGAATGACCAGAATCAAATTTCTTACCATGAAACCAAATGAGGAATCTTTCTATTTGTGACTTACCAGACCAATATAGGGTCTGACTGTCTTTGTGCTCTTTCAAAATGTCTTCATCTGTAAAGTGAACCTCATGGAAAACAGCAATATTGATTATATTTTCTATTCTTCTTGAGCTAATTTGTTATATTCACTACTTACACTGTTTACTATTTAATATTTTCTACTGCAGAAGTGATATCTTCTGCTTTTTTGACTTTTGTCAGTCTTTGCTTGGATATAATTTATCCTGATATACTAGTTCTGAGCTACTATGATAAGGAATTACATACCTCTCTTTAGGTGTCCTATGCATGGCTATGATCTTCTATTTGTCTCTTATATTCTCCATACAGTGCTTTCTTTTTGTCCTTTTCCTTTATCTTCTTCATTCCACCATCATTTATTTTTTTATTTCTTGCTATACAGTTATGTGAAGTTTTTATATTTTCAATGTATTTTTCTATGTATTTAACCAGTTCTAATTTTTAGTCTTCACTGATGGGTTCTTTGTTATTCCTTTATACATATAATCTATGTCCTCTTTGGAGTATAGTGTTTTATACATCATTATAAGTCTCCTAATCTGTTGGTCTACTGATATGAGCTCTTCATGAATGGTGCTAAATGTCTTATTACTAATATTTCCCAAGTGGTCATTCCTTTTATCACGTTTCTATTATTTTTATTTTAAGGTATGCTTTTCTTAATTTTCTTTCATTTTATTGAGTCATATTCAAGTAATTTGAGGTACTTATATGGATTATATGTAGTTAGCATCTTGATTGTCTTATTATCCTGTATGTCAATTCTATTAATCATCATAAGTGTTTCCCTTAATATTATTAATGTTTCAAATTTCTCTATCTCAAATTCCATGCTGATATTATCACTAGTTTTTAACTTTGTTGATCAACATCATTTGTTATTTCTTATTCTTATTGTTGTAGCATACCTACAGACAATAATAGGTATGCCCTCATTCACATAAATACAACAGTAAATATGGCATGTTGGTCTGCAGCTGGAGATTCATTGTGGAATTCACTTGACTCACTTCTAGCAGTTGACTACTACTTCTATGTGTCACTGGCAAATCTTATATGTTGTTTGTATCCTAAGTATTACCATTCATTACCAACCTTCATTTGATTATTCTATATGGTAAACTTCACTAGGTTACAACACTTATTAAAGAATTTTATATTGTTCATGTACATGAGGTGACTGAGTTCTGTTTTTAAAATTTACTTTGGCCAAGGTTTCTCCTATGACGGCTAAGTTTTCTTTCAACTTTTCATGGGGTTGACTATGAATTTCACTGGTAATTCATTAATCTTGAATATTCTGAGGCATTTAAGGATTCAGCTATGAAGCACCATGTTGTATACTTTAGTATAAACAATCCATACCATTGCAAGATTTTTTTCTTTTTGATCTTTTTTCAAGATTCTCTGATCAGTATAGAATAGGCCATTTGCTCCTTTTCTTCCTTTATCATATCCTTTTTGCTCTTCATATATTTTTTATTCTTGTCTAATTAAGTAGGCATGTACTTGGTCTTTAGTTGTTTGTCTTGGTTCCTTTTATTATGCATTTTTGGATGACTTGTTCCGTGTCTGGTCATCCATTCTAAGATTTTACCTGTCAGTTGTCAGTTTTGGAGCTGCTGAGCAAATTATTATTATTATTATTATTATTATTTAATCTTGAATAACTTCAAAGTAATATCTAATATCTTTGGTATTTCAAGTAATATTTAAATATAAAACAAGTTTTCATATTGTTGATTTGTAAACAATCATTTGAAAGAGAAGAATTGTATTTATGATTAATTTTCTTTCAATGAACTATATGTTTTTTTAACTTAAATTTACTTACATTAAGTTTTTATCTCAAACTTTAAACAATGATTTAGTCACAACCAGATGAGAATAAAAGTTCACTGATCTGCATTACTGAATATGCAGACAGTTAGAAAAGTAATAAAAGAAAATATTTTTTACAAAAGGATTGAGAGACATATTAACAGATATAATTATGGCAATTTTAAATATTTTTTGTATAGATTCTAAGTACAAAATCAATAATGATTTTTCTTGTAGCCAATCACTTGTATCCTTTGAAAAAAACGTTTGGATGGTAATAAACATAATAAAATAAAATCATTGCAGGAGACTTTTACTAACATCATTCACATAAACCTATTTTGCTTATTTCTTCTCTTCTTCAAAAAACATTTTGAAAAGTAAAAAAATAAAAAATACACTTTATAAATTCCAGGCCAAAAAGAACAAAAAATCTAAAGATTAGTGATTAAATTCTAAAATGAATTAAATAATGTAAGCATGACCTTTTTGGAAATGTAAATATGATCTTTTTTTGGAAATGTAAGTATGACTTTTTGGAAATGAAAATATGACCTTTTTTGGAAATCTAAGTATGATTTTTTTTGAATTGTAAGTATGACCTTTTTAGAAATGTTAATATGATCTTTTCTGGAAATGTAAGTATGATTTTTTGGAAATGTAAGTATGACTTTTTTGGAAATGTAAATATGATATTTTTGAAAATATAAATATGATCTTTTTCAGAAATTTTAATATTAACTTTTTGGAAATGTAAATATGATCTTTTAGGAAATGTAAATATGATCTTTTAGGAAATGTCAATATGAACTTTTTGGAAATAAAATATGATTATTTTGGAAATGTACGTATGACCTTTTAGGAAATGTAAATATGATCTTTTAGGAAATGTAGATATGATCTTTTGGAAATGTATGATGTTTTTGAAATGTAAATATGATCTTTTTGAAAATATCAATATGATCTTTTAAGAAATGTTAATATGAACTTTTTGGAAATGCAAATATGATTATTTTGGAAATGTAGATATGACCTTTTTGAAAATGCAAATATGATCTTTTGGGAAATGTAGATATGAACTTTTTGGAAATGTAAATATGATCTTTTCCAAAGTATAAATATGATCTTTTAGGAAATGTTAATATGAACATTTTAGGAAATGCAAATATGATTATTTCTGAATTGTTGGTATGACCTTTTTGAAATGTAAATATGATCTTTTTGCAAATGCAGATACGATTTTTTAGGAAATGTATGTATCGCCTTACTGAAAATGTAAATATGATTTTTTTTAAAATGTAAATATGATAATCTATGTTTCTTTAAATGTGAAAATAAATCTAAAGATGTGTATAGAATGTGCCAATATTCATATTTATGTTGTCATTAATATTCATTTTTTTCTGAGTGGGTAGAAGTGTTAATAATAAAAAAAATGTTTGGAGTGATTATGTAAAGTGTTTGTAAATTGATTTGGCAGAAGTTTACAAAGTGTAACAATAGGACCACAAATAGTATAGAAAATATTAGATTTCCTCTATCTAATATCATCACCATCATCATCATTCATATTGTTTAAAAGGAAGTTTTTTAAGCTCAATAATATATGAGGCATTATAATTTTCTGCCTGTTGGAAAAGATAAAATCTGTGATATCCATCACAAATGTATTTGCAAATAAAATTTTATGCTTTATCTTTAAAGTTTTATGTGTGTAATTACATTTTACTTAGGCAAACTACACTTTGCCCTATGTGTGTGCATGAAGACCACAAAATATAATGGTTTTAACATGGGAAAATATTTTTTTGAGTTTTTAGGGATGTATATCTTCTTATAGTTCATTATCTTTTTGTACAAAGTGATTTACTGTCAAATTTTCTCTCTGTGGTCATTCTTTCAAAGTTTGAAAAATAAAATTTAGTCACTAATGTGATGCTGAGAGTCTAAAAGTTTATAATTCCTGCCCTGGAGAATAGGAAAATCAAAGACATGAGCTATTCAGCTCTCTCAGGTCACCAGTATTTTAATAAGTTTCAAATACTTAATTACCAATCAGTGCTAAGACCAAATGGTAAAAACCATTAACTTTAATGACAGTAATCATATTTTTAAATAGTATGTAAATTATTTGAAGTTTTATGAGTTATAAGCCAATGGCTGATTTTTAAATATGTCTAACAGCCTTGAATAATTGCTAGTGTTTCTGCCTGAATAATCCTGCAAAGTATTTTGAATTAAGTGACATTTCAAATATAGCATCAGGAAATAAATTTTTATATTTTATTTCAGATATTTTAAAGCTGGTAGTTGCTTTTATGCCAAACACCTCACATTTTGAAAGAGCTAGCAGCCACTGGAACTAATATTGCTTTACTTGATGATAAATGCTTACTCTTACTTGGATACAAATAGGTTCATAATTTTTAAGTATAATGATCATATATAAACAAAATACAAATTTTTGAAATCAAATTCTAAACATCGTGCTCGTTTTATAAGAAAAATGAGAAATTCCTTATTAGTGAAATGATGAATCATTTTTATTTCAAAGTCCATTTGTAGACTTTCACCTGTTTTTAGGACAAATGTGAAGTCCAGTCCCAAAGGTACTTTCCTCTCAATCTTACCTGGTGGTAGTTATTATTACAAGAAACAATGATCAAGGTGCTCTTAAAATAATATCAGCATAATCTTCTAAAAAAAAAAAGTCAATTTAATGGTGAAGTTTACAAAGATATGTATAAGAAAATAACCACAGTAGTCACTTGAAAATCACAGAAAAGGTCTTTGTTTTGAAACGAGGTTAACTGAATAAGACAAGGTATAACTGCAAACATGATACAATAGTGGCAGTACGGTACCACTGTAGGCACTGACATTTTATCTTGTGGAAAATCTTGAATGTACTGGGTAAATGTGGGTTGCTGCTGTTGCTGCTACATCAGACGACCAACTGCTATGAAATGCTGCGAAAGGTGTAAGTGGGAGGATGCTGGTCATTGTATGAAGGTATTTGGAAGATATGTGTGTGTATATGTGTAGCTTGAAGGAAAAAGATGAAGAGCAGGAGAAGAAAAGAACAGTAAAAAGGAATAGCATGGTTTGGAAGAAAGTGGGAGAAGAGAAAAAAGGGGAAGTAAAGAAAATAGAAGAGGTAAGAAAAAGAAGAAAAAGAAAGATAAAAGAGAATTGTGGAAGAGAAAGTAAGTTATAAAAAAGAATAGACAAAAGAATAATGGTGAGAAGTGACAAAAATTCTAAAAAAAAATGAAGGTGGAAAAATGAAAGAAAAAAATGAGGAGAATTAAAGAGGAAAGTAAAAAGTGATGGTAAATAGAAGGAAAAATTAAAAAAAAAGAAAGGAAATAAGAAAAAGTTCAATTAAAAATTGGTCTTAGAAGAAAGCTTGAAGAAAATAAGAAGATGAAAAATAAAAACACCGAAGAGTAAGATATCTGAAGAGAGGTGGGGAGCGGTCAGATGATGATAAATAGAAAATAAAAGAACAGAAAATAAATGACAGACAGAAGAAAATGTAGGAAAGAATAAATTTTAAAAAATAGCAAAACAAATAGTGGAGATAAGAAAAACAACTTTAACGTAAAATAAATGTAAAAAGAAAGAAAGATATGGGCAAATAAAGTAAAAAGAAATAATAGGGAAAAAAAGAGAAAAGAATATTGAAGAGAAAAATATAAAGACAGAAAAAAATGAATAAATGAGGAGAAAAGAGGTGAGAAAGGGAAAAAAAATCAGAAGAGAAAAATGGAACAAAAGGGAAAGAAATAGAAGAGAAAACTGAAATGAAGAAAGAGTCATTGAAGCTGGGGATAAAATAACAGATTGAACTGAAAGAGTCTGAGAAAAAGGAAAACTAAAAACTGACAATTTAAGAAGTAAAAAAAATAAAAAAAAACGGAAAGAACTGAACTGAAAAATAAAATTAAAATAAATATGGGGAAAGAAAATGAAAGACAAAAGCATTAGAAGAAATGAAAAAAGAGAGAATAAGAAGAGATGAAGATAGACTGAGAAATAAGGAGAATAAAATGAGAGGGAATCAAAGCAAAAATAAATAAGTAAGAAAGTAAAAATAATAGAAATTGGGTGCAAATATGAAGAGAAAAGGAAAACTAAGAGTGAAAAAGAAGCAGTATGAAAAAGAATGAATTGAAGATGAAAGTAAAGCAAAATGAGGTATAGTTAAAAAAGAAGAGACAGGAAAAATTAAAGAAGGGAAGTGAAAGGTACAAGCAGGAAAAGGAAAAAAGAAATGTATAAAAAAAGAAGAAAGAAAATGAGCAAAAGAAATGATAGCAAAATAAAAACAGAGATGAAAAGTAGGAAGGAGGTAAAAGATAATGCAGAGAGAATAAATAAATAAAGAGAAGAAAAGAGAGAAAGATAAATAAGAGAAGGCTGAATGATAATAAAGGGGGGGGAATAGAAGTAACTAGAGAGAAAAAGGGGAAGAAACAGAAAGAAATGAAGATGAAAAGGAAATAAGAAAAATATAGAAAAGAGAAGAGAAATAAGGAAAAAAAAGATAGAGAAATGGGGGAATGTAGAAAGAAGAAAAAATATGAAAGGAAGTATAAAGGATATAATAAAGAAAATGGAAGGCTTGAAGGAGAGCAGAGACAAAAGAGAAGGAAGGATGATGAAAATGGAAGGATTAAAAAGAAGTAAACAGAAAAGAATCTTTGGTTATTGGTAGCATCTTAACTGTTGTGTTCTATGCTTGTTGAGAAAAGCAAGTACAAAGCAGAGAGGGAACAAGTGTCAGATAAATGAGAAGTGTGTAAATATTAAAAAAAGCTGGAAAATACATTTGATGGTTTGAGTGTGCTTATTAAAATCTCCTTACAACTGAATAAGAGGAATAGGGTGCAGAGGAGAGTGGGAAAGGTGAGTAGAAGTGTGAGTGGGTGGGTTACTTGATTATTATGTGTAGATGTGTTTGTGTAAGCAATTGCTATACCCTACAGCAGACAGGTATTTTCATGTGAGTCTCTATTGCATGCAAACAAAAGTATTTAGCAGTCGTGGGAATCTTAAGAATTATTAGAGTCAAATAAAAATACTGACAATATAATGCAAAATAGCCTTGTAAAAATGTTTGGCAAGATTTTTCAATGACCAGATGATACTTTAAGATTAAATATCATGAGGCAGATTTCAAAGTGATGAGAAATTTGTTTCTTTTTCACATGTGTTTATTTAAATAAATCTACACAAACATATATACTGTATATACTCGCATATCATGCAACCTTTGAAGACCTAATTTTGAAGCTAATTTGACTACAGTAAATGAATATATAGTTTGGTCAACAACATAGCCAGTAGTACATATGCTAATTTTATATCTTGTATATGATGCGACCCCTTAAAAATTAGGTCTTCAAAAGTCACATGATACACAAGTATATATGGTAATCACAAACAAATTAGAGTTACTGTGATGGAAATATTCATTTTCTTGCAATAAAACAAATCTGTCACAAGGGCATTAAATTTGTGGAATAGCTGCACTCATGATTATCTTGTTCAAACACCGCAGTGTGGTATCAACGTGTGTTGGGGAGAGGGTGTGGGTAGGTATGTGTAGTATATGTGTGCTGGAGGTCGCATGTGTATAGAAAATGTGTAGTGTCATGTACATGCATGTGTGCAAACATACACGCATACATATTGGTATATAATGTTTGCATTAAACTTGTTAGCATACTCATATATGCACATTGTTCTTGCATATGTACTTTCTGAAATATACAGCCTCAGCACCCCACCACACACACACATGTACATATATATATAATTTTAAAGCAGTTAATAAATTGTTTTAGTCAGACATCATTTCTGGTTACTATAACCATTATATTTAGTGGGTATACTGTTTGGGCAGACAGCACTGTCTTTTAAACACTGAAATTAATATCTACTGGCCTAGAGATCAAAAGACATATATAAATATCTTATTCTTTTTCTATGTGCCATGACCCTCCAGGATGTTGGCAAATCATGGTTCTTTACAATTTCCTGTCCTTTGTAGCGCTTAGTAAATTTTGTCTTTTTGCTATCTTTTCTAAACCTTTACACAAGTTCATTAGATAGTTTTTCTCAGTTGCTTTTGCGTTCATTATGTCCTGTGACATTTACATTGACTATAAAATAGCATTTTTTTCCCCATTGACTTATCTGTTTGTCTATATTTCTGAGATGAGATATTATGTACATTATTTACATTATTCAGACTATTCTCCTCATCTTTGTCACCATATTTATTACCATGTACATGAACCCATGCTCTGTTCGAGATATTAGAACATCTAGGAATGGGAGTGTGTTGTTACTCTCTTTCTCCATTGTGAACTGTATTGAAGGTCTTATTGAGTCCACATGGTCCAGCAGAACCTGAACATCTTCCTATATAGTTAAGATACCATGAAGGCATCTTAACCATATAGTTGGCTTTAGAGATATAGATTTGAATGCCATTTCCTCAAAGTATTTCATGTATATATTCACCATTGCTGGTGATAATGGCGAGCCCATTGCTAAGCCCTCATCTTGTCGATATAAGTGTGTGATCCCATTCCGAAGTGTGTTGTTTGTGTACAGAAAGTCAACATCTCCTTAAGATTATTTATTGGAATACTGGTCCATTCTTCTAGAGATGAGTCAGAGGTCAATCTACCTCTGACTACTGAGAGTGCCTCCTCCATGGGTACCTTGGTGAACAAACTCACCATGTCCAAGCTCACCATCTGGTTGAATAGGATGGGAGCATCTTTGATTATTTCCATGAAGTGGGCAGAGTTTTGGACATATGAAGGAGACTTTCCAATCAATGAGTCAATTATATCTACAAGGAGGCAACTTAGAGGGTGGCACAGAGGGCCTTGGCAACTAACAATCGGCCTGAGCAGAATACCGTCTTTGTGAATCTTAGGGAGACCATATATGTGAGGTAGCATGGTGTAATGCTGTGATAACTGCCTATACGTCTTAGGTGTGAAGTGATCCTTGTTCTTGATTAGTATCTGTGACAGTTTGCGTTCTGTTTTCATTGTAGGATCCTTTTTTACTTTGCTGTAGCTATCATTGCTAATAAAGTCTTCCAGCTTTCTTGTATAATTGGATTTGTCCATCACTACAGTTGCATTGCTTTTGTCAGCCGGTAGTATGATGATGTTTTCATTCCTCTGTAGGGATCCAATCACCAGCCTCTCAAGGGCACATGGCACAGTGGATAAAAGCATTAGTTAGATCCAGTGACAAGACCCAAAGAGTGTGAGTTCGAAACCCGGTTAATTCAGTGGAGAACTTTCAGAGGGAAATTAACAGGAGATAACTGATAACTGACATCCATTAAACATGGCATGTGGAACTATAACAGTCTACTCCAGTGAGCGAAATAAAGGGTTCAGTTTGACATTCCAATCACCCGAAGAAGGCCGGAGTGTACAACGGCTGAAATGTTGTAATAAATATGGTGACAAAGATGAGGACAATAGTCCAAATAATATAAATAATGGACTTAACTGTTTATTCATATTTTCAGACATTCAAGGGGAAGGTATTGACAATCAGCTCTATTAGATTATGCATTTGTATTAATTATACTAGGTTCATAATAGATCCAGTAGCTTTGACATGTATATACTATTACATGAATTTTCCATATGTAGGCAACACTGTCCTCCTGCCTGTGTAAAGAATAAAAATGCCTATGTATCTGTGTATGCAGAAACACCAGTCTCAACCTTTTCTATGTTACACTATTTCTTTTAGTGATATTTAAAAAGGTTTTGTACATAAGTTGCAATATGATTTCTTTATCTTTTTCCACTATATAAGACTGTAGTGTGCCATGAATTTCATGTGTTACTCATATTTTCTGAAAGCAAAAGAACAAATCACTGTCAGTGAGGACTGCAGGTGTCGGTGCAAAATTTTTAAATGATATCTGTCCTTCTCTTTGGAATTTTTCAAGACTTACAAGCAGAAAATGGCATCAGAAGAGACAAAAGTATGAAATAGCAGACACAAGAATGATAGAAGATAAATATTCTCACCATTGTGAGCAAAAATGTGTATGTTTTTTTTACAATAGTGTTCACCCTGAACGAGGCCAAAGAGCCTCTCAGGTTAGAGAATAAAAAGCAGGTTATGGGGATATGTGAGGAAGATAACAGTTAACACTAGAGTTGAACAAGTTAAGATTATAGTGATCAGGGAAGCATCCTCTTGGGAGTCAGTTCCACAAAGCAGAGGTTTGTAGAAAAAAGCTTAAGTGTAATTTACATCTCACCAATAGAATATAAAGTGAATGAGCATGGTTCATTACAATGTACCTAGCATGGTGGGTCTCAAGACATGAAGCTTAGAACTGGCAGAACTAAGGAATGTAGTTTGTCTGAACACTTTCCATGGAAATAACATTAGAGCAGCAAGAGTTTTGTGATGTTTTGTCTGTGGGAAAGGGGTTTTAAGGTGGAAAATAATTCATCACCCACAAGGATGCAGAGATGCTTTTGAACTCTATCAAGACTGGAAAGTGAAGACTGGGCAGTACCAGCCCATATAGGGATTTTCCAAGCATAGCTTAGATGTGGCACAAGGCCAAAAGTATGGGACACCCAGTGAGGATCAAACACACTACTCAGTTGTAATTGTTACACCAGCCCATATATGGCAATAGTACTCTATTTTTGGCCTGGTCTGGCTCTTGTAGAGGTAAAGGATAGCAAGCGGAGTACATACATGTGAGAAATCACAAATGTATATTCTTTCTATGTACAAATAAAGTGATATGCACAAAACTGTAATGCACACATATAAACATAGGAAAACACAAGCACAGATATGCATGAGTAGCCTCATGATGTCACGCATGTGTCGATCCCTGGAAGATTATTAGATCTACACTGTTGTTAGCTGTCACTTATTATCAAGAAAGACTTTGATCTTCTTTAGGGAATGTTGCTGACATTTGTACCTGTGCAACTGTTCATTCTTCTGTTCTTCTGCTATTTGCCAAACATTTGTTTGAACACTCGATAATTGTTGAATGAGTGAACTTGAAATAGATGGCAAACTGATGGTTTATGACAAGCAACTATTTAAACAAAGAAAATTTAATTAGAAACAAAGAAAGGAGTGCTGAATTGATATGTAATCTCAGTCCTCCAATATGGCACTGCAAGCCGGACAGTATCCTCAGAGATGAAGAGCAGACTTAAGGCAACAAAGATGTGGTTCTACAGAAGGATGCTGAGAATACCATGGATATGACATGTGAGAACTGAGTAAGTTTTAACAAAAATGGAAACAAAAAGGGCACTTAGAATCAAAAAGATACAGTTTAAATTTTCTGCGACACCTAATGAGAAATGAACATTTAACATTCACAGGACATATTGAAAACAAAAAGGGACAGAGTGAAACAGCTAATTAATAAGTTTATATATAGGTGGATGAAAGAACATGGATTGGGAGGGAGAGTAAGGAGACAAACATTGCTTTGAGCTATAAAAAAATAGGAAGAGTGATGACATAAATGAAGAACTGAAAGGAATGATTGGAATAGAAAGAATAAGAAAGAGAGGATTTTTGTTTTTTAAAAACTCATGTTATCAATTCATATCCTTGTTAAATACACTTGCTTGTAAAAAAGTAGCAACATCATGTTGAAACACCAGTTCCCATACTATCACCAAAGTTAAGCAACATCTGATCAGTACCTTGATGGGTGACTGCTTGTAAATACTAGGTTTTAAGCTTGGATATGTGTGTGGTGAAATGGATAATGGTTCGAAATTGTTAATCAGAGAGTGTGTTCCAATACTCACTGAGTTTGTTATATTCACTTATGTGCAAATACCCTTGAGAAAGGTATGAATAATCTCTTCTCTCCTCAGAGATGGGTTAATTAGTAACACTTGTATCACCAAACTATTATTATCTAAAAAAAAATTCTTACAATATAAAAATATTTTCTGGCTTTAAATACCCTTAAAAACGGGTTGATAAGCAATAGAAAACAATTCAACCAGTCAAAAAAAAAAAAAAAAAAGAAAAGTGATTAGCATCTTTCAGAAACAATGATTTTGATCTTCACCAGGTGCTGAAAATGTGATAGAGTCACTCATAGAAAATACTTATTTTTTTAAAGAAGATTAAAAGATTACTAAATTGTATTTCAACATTCAAAATAGGGTTACTATTCTGAGTAATGTATCCAGTTAAATGTTCACAGAAATCATGACAGTAAATTAAGAGGAATATTAATAAGTTTATAGCCTTTTGATTAAAGAAAAGCATTTATTTTACATATATATCTATTCTTCAACAATCTTCTTCATTGTTAATACACTGAACTCAACACTCTTCCATTAACTATTCTTCAGCCTTGGTAGGCAACCAGTCTAAAAGAAAGAAAGCTCTAAATTCCCAAACCTGGATGGATGAAACTAATTAACATGGGAACACATGGTTTTCTAAGATAAGGAAAATCCCAACAGAAAACAAACCCTTCCACAGAATACAGAATACAATGACTGCCACCCAGTAGAACAATTTGATTACAGAAACTTCATTGAAAAGTCCTTATGTGTCATGAGGCACTGGACAGATTGTCTCTAGCTTATTTCCATTAATCACATTTCAGATCTAAGTTTAGCTAACAACTGTGTCAGGATTTGAAATTATTCATCCAACTTTGTATATTTTCCAAAGAAAATACGGTAATCACTTGTAATATTAAATGTGTCAAAAGTTTAAGTACATACTTCTGATCTTCAGCAAATGAATTTTATGAAAAAATGTTACATATTGAAATGACTACTATTTAGTATGACTCAAAACATTCTTAAGTGAATTAACTTGAGAATTGAGATAATTTTAAATGGATTTGTTACAGAAGAATATGAGGTTCATGATGTTGGTGAGCTTATTTTATTATATTGCTGGGTGGACAGTTTCCGAGAATGAAATTAACAGTCACTTGTCTGTGCCTTCAAGTTGGAACCCATTGGCTCTGTTTTAACATGGTAAGCTCCACTAGTTACACCTGTCCAAGATATTCTATGCATGACCGAATACCAAAATATTTGAAGGGAACTTATGTTTTCATCTGCACAGTGACCCTATGACTACACCCTTTCATGAGGAGGAGGATAAGTTGTTGTTGCTTGTAAACAATCCCAGAAAGTCTATTTAAAGTAATTTGATAGGAAATATAAACTGTTGTACCTGTTATATAATTATTGTTTTCATCTTAATAATCATTATAATAATATTAACAACACCTTCTTCTTTATGTGCCTTGAGTGCCTATATCCTGAGGAATGTCTCTCAGAACATAGGTGATCATGGCTCTCCACAACTTCCTGTTCCTTGTAGCTATTAATAAATTTTGTCTTTCTGTTATTTCTCTTAAACCCTGTTTCAGTCATCATTTACACAAAAGTAGCTGTAGTAATAAGATTAACTTTAGTAATGATTGTACTAAAAGTACTAGTAGCAACTATAACATATTAACGATGACTTCAACTGCAATAATTATGTGAATAATCTGAGCAACAGAAAAATAAGAACAATGTTAATGGCAATAACAAAAAGAGTATTTTTCAAAAGTATTTATTTAATAGCAAGAGTGTTCATTTGATATCAAGAGTGAGTTGTAATTGTTTTAAAATTAATGTACATTAGCACTTTACTATATATCATATTAATTATACTGATAGTAAAAATAATAGATTCATATATTAGAAAAACAATCTTTATAATAAAAACAACTGAAGCAATATTAAAAATAGTTACATTACTACAGACTACTGATGATTGGGAACAGTAGATTAATTTGAGAATGTGTTACTAATTCAATAATATTAATTCTACTGATTATTCTTAAAATTTTGTAGAATATAAAAGCGGAAGTGATATGATATTTAAGAATCACTATCTGTAAAAAATAATTACATTCTTTATATTTTTGTCATGTGTGAAAATTTAATTTTTTTTTATTGTAGTTTCATGTGACTTCATATTAAAATATTTAGTCAAATTTTGAACTGCCACTTCAAAACATCAAAATAAAGATATTTAAAAATTCAAAAATAAAAATTTTGTTTGGTACAATATCTGATTGGGTCATGACCCAAGACCTGGGTTAAGGGAAGTAATAATTATAGGCAATCTGCACAAATTTTGATGCTAAGTGATACTTAAGATGTACATTGTTTTTTTATTTGTTGTTGTTATAATAATAATTATTGTTGTTGTTGTTGTTATGACACTTATTATTGCTATTGCTATTATTATTATGATTATTATTATTTTTGTTGTGTTTTTGTTATTATAATTATTATTGTTTTTGTTGTTATTATTGTTATTATTATTATAATTATTATTATTTGCTGTTATAATTGTTATTATTACAATTATTATTAGTATTATTATTGCTATTATTATAATTGTCATTATTATTATAATTATTATCACTGATGTTGTATGTTGTTATTTTAATTATTAATATCATTGGTTTTATTATAATTATTATTACTGTCGCTCTTATTATAATAATTATTGTTGTTGTTATTATAATTATTATTCTTGATGTTATTATTATACTTATTATTATTGTTGTTGTTTTTGTTATTATTATTATTATAATTTTATTTCCTCTTATTTCTGATGTATACTCATTTCTATCTGGGTTTGAACCAGATACCTAGGGTCAGCAATGGCATTGTGACATTTTTCACTGAACCTTTTTGAGGACCTCCAACCCCCAAAAAACCCAAAATGTAATATCCCACACATTTTACATAGATAAAGCTCTTCATAATGTGTGAGCTGTACTTGTGAGTACAATTTTTTGTATATCTTTAAGGCATAGCCACCAAGAATCCATTTAATAAGTCTATGAGAACTTTTTCCAATCAATCCAAGGGATCCATCTATGATTTGTTATTATTATTATAATTATTATTATTGTTATTATTATTACATTATTAAAATATGGAAATATTTGAATGTTTTAAAAATTAAAACATGAGATCATATGAAATTTATGTAAAAATTAACAAAATAATAAGGAAAATCAAGACAAGAATATGAGGATATCTATAATAATAATAATATTGAGGAAGAAGAAAAGAAACTTGTTGTCACTTGATATTCAATGAAAGCCACTAGTTTCTAATGATATGAAAATTAATATCATGAAAGTTTTAATGAATATTTTCAGGATCTGAGACCAGATAAAAACAAATATTCATATTGAAAATAAAAGATAAAGATAGTAATCACTAGATGATGATGATGATAAGGAAAAAGAACATAATGTTAATGGAGATGGTAACCACAAAATGAGAAGTAAAACAAAAAAAAAAAATCTGAAAAGACTAAGGAAGGCAAAAATTAATGCAAGGTTGACTGAAGTATGAAAAGATAAGAATTTTAAAACAATGGTCAAATGGTATAACAGGAGGGAGTCTGAGAGTAACAATAATGATAAGGACAATAGATATATTGCTGTTGATGATGAAGAAAAGGAAGGGCAGCGGGGAAGACGTATTGCTGTTGCTGCTTCCCAGATGTGAGTAATGAAGTGCATGATGTCACCTGGCATTCACTTCTGTTCCTTTTCCAGCTTTATGGCATAATTCAGCCTGAGATCATTAATCAATACAGAGAAGTGACTAGAGGAGCAGTAACCCTAAGACGAAAAGTGCTGCCATCTACATCCTGATTCTGTGGCAGACCAGGCTCTATCTCCAGCAGCGGTGACAGTAGGCAGCTGTAGAATGGCAGTAGTGGTTGATTGGTAGGTAAGTAGGTAGGCAGGCAGGTAGGCAGTCATCTAAGTTGATGGTAGTGGTGGTTGTATCATCTCAATTTTATATTCTTAGACCCCTCTCTCAAACTACTCTAGTGCCTCATTGTATGCTTTTTTAAAGAATCAGAGTTACTTCTCTTAGACCATTGGAAATAAGGTGTCTCTCTATATGTTGGGAAGTAGTATTAGTTCTATTATTTGATAGTTCTCCAGAGAAAAAAAATGGCATATTTTTTGTTAGTATAGGTCATCTAATAAATACAGTAGCCAAGTTTACTTTTTAAGAACCATTGTTGGATGTAGCAAATAAGTATATTTTACAAAGAAGGCTATTGAGGCTGATAGATTTTTTTTCTTCTAATCTCTTTGAATAACAGTCAAGATAAAGAAAATTCAGGCACAAGAAAGAGACATGAGAAAGAACAGAAAAGATATCTCATTTATATTAGTGTTTATATCTGTGGTTTATTAAACCTGGACTTTTCAAAGTCATCTGTTTTTCTGTAAAGGTTATTTTCAAGAATTACTCTAGCATTAAAAGCATGATATTTGGAGCTGCCATCTTTTGTTTGGTTCATTGACTTGTCATGTCAAGTTTGCTCAAGGCTAGATGAGATATTTTATTCAGTCAAGTAAACAGTCTTGTACATTATCACTAAACCTTTATATACAAACTTAAGAATATTATATTTTAATGTCTATGTCAGTTATCAATGTATTATAATTTCTATCTAAAATCGTTTTATTATTATATTTTTGCATAAGATCTCACAGTCTTAATAGCAAGAAAAACATGGAAGCATGACTTAAAAAATAAGCTTAAATATCTCTCAAGGTCAAATTCTTATTGAAATTTTTGTGTTAATTCTTAAGTCTCTTTACACTTAATCAATATTATGAAACTCTTTCCAAAATAGAAGCTTGTTGTTTCTAAAGCAAATATTTACAATGTTAATTTTCCATAGGTTAATGAAAATAGACATAAAATATATTTATCAATGTATGAAGAGAAAATTATGAAGGAAAAGAAAAGAAAATATTGAAAAAAATACAACAGGGAAAAGATTTGACTATAAAAGATTATTAAGGGAAAGAAAAGGTAAAAAGTAAGGATAAAAGTAAATGCAAAAGAAAGAAAGCAAAAAAGACAGAAAGATAAAAATAAAGAAAGAAAAGATAAATGGAAAGCAATTAGAGAGAAAAAACAAAAGTAATACAAAAAGTGAGAAGAGAAAAAATGAGACTTTGAAAGAGAAAAGGAAGTAGAATCAGTGAGAGGGAGAGAAAGATGAAATGTAAAGACAGAAAAGAAAAAAAGAGGGTAAAGTGAGAAAAAAATCTTCAGATATCAAAAGAGAGATGTAGGATAAATGCTAAAGAAGGAATAAAGTCAAATAAGATATGAGGAAAATAGATTTTCAAGCCTTAAAAAATTTAAACAAAAATATAAGCTTACATATGTTTACATATGTAAAAATTCCAAGATTATGCTTCTTGCTTCTCATTTAACTTTGACCTGAGTAGAATCTGCAATGTTATTGGTTCTGAACTGGCATATTGGCTTCAGTCACTTTCCCACAATCATAACATAGCTTTACTGCGCCTTTTCTATAAATATTTTCATAGTAATTGTTCTGATCAGCTTTCCTTTTCAGTAGCTTGACTTTACAAATTTAACCACCACACTAGACTGACAGATAGGTCTCCATATTTCACAGTCAAAATTGCTAGATGTAACTGTAAGTTCTATGCTAACAGTTTCTTCCCTTGTATTTATCACTTGTGGAACTCTCTTCCAGATTCTTGATCTTCAGAAATTTATTTTCAATGCCAATCATTATCTTCTATTTCCTTAATTCCTATTCTTTTATTGTCCTCTCTCTACTTAATAATTTTTCTCAGATTCTTTCACACTCAGTTACCCCTTGTTTCTTAGTGATTCTCTCTCTCTCTCTATCTCTCTCTCACACACACACACACAAATATTTCTTGAATATTATTTGCTTACTTCTGTCTTATCAGACTTTAAATTTTAATTATGACACTTTGTGGCTGGCACATGTTTTGACTGACTTTTCAACCACCTGATGAATATTCATGAACTTTCTCAAATTTAAAAACCTTGATAAACCAATGACATCCTTGGTTTTGTATATAAACATGCACAACAAAATAAATCTTACATAATACAACCCCTCAGAGGATGAAGTGTGTCAGTTAAGAATACTTTTCCTCTTTTCTTTTTATTCATTTTCATTCACAGATATGTGTTATCTGAAAATAATATATATATATATATATTTAAGATCAAGGATCAGAGTTGAATCATACCAGGAAACAGTAATATCAAAAAGTGTTCAATACACATATGAAAAAAAATAAAATAAAAATAAAAAAACATTTAGACCTTTTAAATTTAAAAATTAGAAGATCAGTTGAATCTGCTATCTTGGTTTCAATCTTACAGTATCGTCAGGTGATTTTTATCAATTGACTTCCCAATGCTTTATTTTTTTAAAAAACTAATGAATGCTATATTATTTTAAAAATAAACAAACACATAACATTGGGTGTGATAGAAAGAGAGTAGGAGGATATGAAGAAGGAAGGAGAAGAAAAAGGGGGAAGAGAAGAAAAGTAAAGGCATTATAAATGTTTCAGTGGGGGTTAATTGAAATGTAAATTTTTTTTTTTTTATCCAGCCTCATATGTGCTTAAAAGGAATTTTTTAGTATCTATGCAAGGACTTATGACTTCATTTTTCTTATTCAAAAGGTTCTTTGGATCCGGAAATATCATTATTGTTAATAAAACATTGTGTGTGTGTTTATGTTTTGAAATAATATAGTGTTCATTAGTTTTTTAAAAAATAAAACATTGGGAAGTCAATTGATAAAAATTGCCTGAGGATACCTTAAGGTTGAAATCAAGGTAGCAGATTCAACATCTCCTAATTTTTAAAACATATATATATATATATATATATATATATATATATATAAAAGAAAAAGAGAGAGAGGAAGCTGATAATTTCTCAGTCCATTGGAACATTAGAAATAAAAGTGCTCAATACATGTGTGAAAAAAATACAATTAAAAAATAACTTGTGGAGCTTTTAACTTTAAAAAGTTAAAAATTAAATTCAACCGATCTCCTAATTTTTATAGTAATATATATATATATATATATATATATATATATATAATGCAACAGGGGTTACAAGACACTTTTTAGCTAGCCATACATTAAAGCTACCATAATGTAATGTTATACAGCATATGCCAAATTACATCTTTCTCATTTTCTTTCATATGTATCAAGGGTATTAATGTAACAACTTCCAATATGGCACAAGAAATGAACAGGTTTGTCATGTTTGTGACAAAATCAACAAATCTTAGATTCTAAGCCTCTTGAAAATAGTTAAGTCCTTTGTGAACCAAGCTGAAGGCCTCTGGCTATGACATGTCTTCCATTGCCAAGAGAAAAAACATTCTAAATAGTTAGATATCACAAGGATGGTCAAGTTCATCTAGCAGGTTCAGGATATTATCAAGCCTAACATAATTATCAGATATGTGGTGTACAAAGACATCAAATCCTCTCTGATGAGCAGAAAGTAGTTCAGATCTGACCTGGGAGAACTCTACTATTCTATTAAAGTGCTTGCTGAATAAGATCAAGCACCTTGAAGAACCCTGCATACTCTAATTCTTCTCCAATGTGTAAAAATTTAACCAGGACCATAAAGTGACCAGTTATGTTACGATGATTGGTTGGTTTTATTACATGTCAAGCCATGTTGGGTTATTTATTATTGAATTTTGTGCTGATAAGGAAAAGGAGAAATGATAGTAAGCTCTAGATGGTCCACACTGGTGTACCTATAGTGCGTCATATCACCTATGATGTCATAGTGATTTTGAGTAATAAGAGATATCTTGTACTTCCTGTAATGACTTAGGGTCAATATCACTAACTAAATTGATGTGTTGCACATGGTGGTCAAGTCTTGAATAAAACATTTTCTAGCAAACTGTGATTCTGCCCACAAATCCTACACAATCCCAGATTAGCTAGCTGAGAATTTAGACTATCATGTATCTCCTAAGATGTGATTACAGAGCTAACCTGATTTTAATCCCTTGGTTTATTATAGCTGGGGTGTCAACGAGAGAGAGAGACTTGATAACAGCCTCTATAAATACCAAGGACTCGTGGGTGTGATGGCCCAGTTGGATGATTCAAACAGGCGATTGTTTCTGAGGTTATCCACAAGGCTGTCTTTAGCACAGATGGTGGTTTGATTGAATATGGTTTTTCTAAGTTGAATATATGTACAATGTTTCCTTTTTCAAAAAATCTACTGATCTTTCTAATAAATACATTTTATATTATTATTTCTTCCCAATTACCTGGTGCACTCTGAGCTTGGAGGTGTTGAAAAGTTCTATTTTCCAGAATTCTTATTCTAATGTTTGGTCATTAAATACTAGAAACTACTTTGGGCTGGATATATCAGATTATTCAACATAAAATTGTTGTTTTATTTAAAAATAAAAAATAAATTATTTAGTAAAAATGTTTTGCCTTTGGCCTGTATATATTTGTTTCGAGATAAAAACTTATCAATTTTCTTCACTCCAAAAAAATAAAAAATTTTAAAGGCTTCCTAAATTTGATTTTGGTTCTAATCTCTACAGCAGCAGATTAGACATTTGAAAAATAGGATAATCCATAAGAGAAATGTTATATAAATAAGCAAGTTGAAATAATGC